AGTCTACATAAAGATGTGCAGACTCTAAAAAAATCTGCGAGAGACATCCTTCGGGGAAGTTAGCACACACCATTGTGATGCTAGTTTTGCATATTTTGGTTTGCATCTTGAAATATAAATGCAATCAAGGCACAGTGGCTGCTCGTGTGCACACACCTTCAAATTGGTTTTGACAGTCCATGCCGTGCAGTGACTGATTAGCTCCGACGCGAGACGGGCTTTTTGCTGTGGTACTTCCAGTTGGGCTTTAAGTGTCAGGAAAACCTTCTGACAGTAAAATGAGGTTTTGCAGACAAAACAAATCATCCTAAACAAAAGAAAAACTCATAAAGATACACACACTTGAAGTGATACAACAAAGAACACGTTTTAAAGCTGTGGTTCCCAACCTTTTTAACTTCATGAAGAGGAACACATTTAAAGACATTTAAGTCCGTTTATAGGATAAAGGACAAGGGTGAAATTTTTGCAACAGCATCAGGTGGGAATTAATGTCTCTGAGTGGAACTGAACCAGCAACCTTTTACTTTGTTAGTCCAAACCACTACACTATGGAGATATATCCATGATCTCATATATTACTCCCAATCATAAGCCACTGCCAAAAAATTTAGAGCAGCTCTGAACTGTTGTAGATAATATCTAAAGATGTGTATGACGACACACAAGTTACAAACAGCAGGATCAGACGTTAAATCATTTTCTCTTTTAAACATGCCAGTTCAAATCTAAAACCGCACAATTATTATAATAGTGAAGGGAATTTGTTTGGAAACGTCCCCTGTGCCTCCCTCCCACACACACACTACTTGGGCAACTCTGTCACCTAAACTGAGCATGCCCAGAAGTGATAATGCAACTGATACAAATTATCTCATGCTGCGTGATACATATGAAAGAAAAACTCTAGTAAATCTCCCAAACTGAGGTCACATGTAAAAAAAAAAAAAAAGAGGCTATAGCCTGTATATAAAGGATGGCTGTAGCCACATTACATCAGCCACTCCTACACATCTACACATCATGACCAATCTTACTGAGGATCTGAGGGCTTGTTAATCACAGTGTAGGCCTTCACCAAATTAGACCCTATTTCATTGTTTATTTTATTCTAAAAGTAGTTTACAATATGAACACTATACTTGATTAAATAACAGACAATAAAAGGGGAGAGTTACTGAGATATTAAGTGGGAAGTCCACTTGCATCTTCTTCTATGCAAGTGGACTTTTTTCTGCAAGCACTCACCCACTGCTGGCTATGAGTCAGAATCCAGGTTTAAAATGGCTTTATTACTCAGACTCAGAGTATACTACTACTACTACTACTGGATTTGTGTGGTAGGGTTGTGATTACTACAGTTTTTTTACATTGAGAAGGGCTAGGGCTGCACTAAAGTCGATCAGTATTGACTTGAACTGTAGATACTTCATTTTTTATTTCAAAGGGAAAGAGTGTTTGGAATAATAAAGCTATTTTTTAACTCTTTACCCCTCGAAAGCCTGCTAGGAGTAAGCCCTTCAAATCCTTTTCTGAACTAAGCAGTTTCTGGTGATTGGGTTTGCATCAGAAGTTAGTGAGGGTGGTCTCTGCCTTTGCTGCTACCTTTGGCAAAATCTGGAAACTATTTTAATGGCAGACTAAAGACAACATTTTTATTCTAAAAGGTCAAAACTCATTAAGGCCACAGAGCGGGTCATCAAATATAGTCTTTATAGGGAAAAGCATTTGGACAGTGTGATGCATTTATAAGGATGCATAGTTATGGTTATTGACCAGTTTGAGGAAAATATTACACCAGTTCAAATAAAATGACTTGTCTTCACTCATGTGACTTACAGATCACCTCGCCCTTAGGTTGGGAACAACGGCCTTAAAAATCCGCTGTAATAAGACTTCACGTGTGAAAATAACGACAAGGATTATTCATAGCACAACAATAGCTTGTCACGGAAAGATTTCCTTATGCACAAACCTTACAAAGTGCTGCTTTATATAGCCATGGGATCATGACTCAATGCATATGTTTACTCTCATGACTTCTGTCCTTCCAGAGTTCTTGGGTCTGTTGATGATTTTCACGTTTCACATTTAATCAGTGCCATATTTTTCAGTTTGAACTATAAACACACATACGTATACATTCATATTAATTCACTCCTTGATTAAAGATAAAGGCACCAGAGTCCCCCCACCCACCACCACCCCACCCATGCTCACTCAACAAAGCGTCCTGTATGTCAGCACAGGTCTTTCTCTTCCATGAGGCCGTTCTACAATACTGAAACCTCATGAAAATCCAGCATTAAGCTTATAAAACTACTCCGTTCATGGAAATGTGAAAGTAAAATGTGTGTGTATGGATTATGTCAAACTAAAGCTGAAGAATGATATGGACTGTGAAGCACAAACATGAAAAAAATGAGCATCGGGTTCTTAAAATACAGTTTTATTTGTGAATTTACACAGATTAGCAATACATCTAAAAGCAACTCCATTAGATAACCACTTATATAGGATTTTCACAGGTCACAAAGTAGCTTGGCTCATTCTGGCATGCCAAAGCAAAACTCGTTCTTTTTGTTTGTTTGCTTTTTTTGTTTGTTTTTTTGTTTTGAACAGAAAAAAAAAAGAGGTGGCGACATTAGCAAAGCAAGGTGCAAACAGTCAAAAACAGATGAGAAAATAAAAAGGATGTGATGCAAATTCAGTTCATCTGGAAGCAATTTTGCTAAAAAAGAAAAAAGGGTTAATAAAAAAAAAAAAAACACCACCTAATGCGTCCTGCAAACTAAAAAAAAAAAAAAAAACTACTGCGATACAAATGGAGGATGAAAAAAAGATTTCCTGGAGGAGCGATGTATCAAAGAAAACAAAAAAACAAAAAAACATCTGAGTGGTGAAAATATGGTGTGTTAGTATCAGGTTGTCCTTTCCCCTGCTCCTGTCTACTACACACAGATAAGCACTTCCATTTCCTCTTTCTCCATCTTTCAGTTGTGTGACCTCAGTTCTTCGCCCGGAGCCAAAAGCTATCGTTTAACACGGCTAAAGATGTGCCCCTAAACCCTCCCGCACTCCCTCCAAATCCAATACTTCACATTGCTAGCTGGGATATTGGTACATCTGGTTAAACTGCAGGGGGGGAGGATATGCGGCAACCCATCACACTTTGGCTTTGCTGAGTTCAACTGTGGGTCATCCGCCAGTTACAACAGGATCGTGTTTAGAAGAGAAATTACAGGAGGGAAGGTTTTAGAAGCTGAAATAATGACTGGCCTCGGAAAAGAATCATAAAAAGATAAAATGTCCTATGACCTCCTAATGATGTTCCAGTTCTTGGAGGAAATAAAACAGCAAATTAGGCAAGGAGGCGTAGCTACTGTGAGTGTAGCCACTGCAAAAATATTAAATAAAATAATAAAGTTTTGGGGTGCCTGAGGGGTGTCGATGCAGTCACTGGGGTGATTTAACAGAGTTCTTATTAGGGTCTATGACGCCTGAGCAGGCAGATAAGAATCACAACCCTTGTCTTATTAAAATAATGGAGGAAAAAAATTACAATATGGCTTAAAACACACACGCGCGCACGCACAAACACACCAAACAAAAAGACGTCACCGCTCTACTCTCCATGACCCATGATTCCCATCGCAGCTGGGGACTGCGTTTAGCAGAAACGCTGCTTGAGCGCAGTAATATTTTCTCACGTGTGACACCAATGAAAGATTATTCTGTCCGTCTTCATTCAACTCACTTTCTGGGTCCTGACCGCTCCCCGACACCATGCCTCGCTTTCTACTTGCACGACTTTTACCAAATTACTTCACGATCCTCCTCACTGGTGAAACCACTTGCAACTAAAATGTGTTATATACCACAAAAAAGTGCTGCACCATGAAATAAAAAATATATAGCTAACGAGAAAAAAAA